ATATATATATATATATATATATATATATATATATATATATATGCATATATAGCTTCAACCATGCATGCATGCATGCATTGTTGAAGCTATATATCTTCATATGATGGTCTAAACTGTAGCAGAGCCTCGAAGCCGTACGTCCTCGTGGGGTGTATGAACAGGGGAAGAAGCTCCGCTAACTTCAGGTTGAGGGTTTAGGGTTTAGGGTTTAGGGTTTAAGGGGGGAGTCACCATGATATTTTTGGATTGCGTGAGGCGGCGCATGATGTCTATGACGGTAGTTTTCTGCACTGCTGAGACGCAGCGTTCGAGGGTGATTGGGGTGTATCCGCACATCAAGAAGTGGCAACGGGGTACGGGTACAAGAGAAGATAACAAAGATAATAAACTAGAAGATAAAGAAGAAGGATAACGTAGAGTTGCTGTGCATGCAGCCATGACGGTCGATATCTGCAGTGACACCCGAAACCCCAGCACACGCAGAAAAAAAAAGTATGAAATATGCAAACAAACAAGCTAAGCAGGCATATATCGAACCCTAATCATATAAAAATATTGATTATAATCATATAATATTATTTATTATATACATTTAATATATTATACTCATATATAATCCCAAACAGAGCCAAGAAAACCGAGAAGAAAAAAGTAACAAGTCGAAGCTAACAAGCCGCAGCGCAGGAGCCGTGGGCTGATGTGATCTAATATATTTAGGGTTTAGGGTTTAGGGTTTAGGGTTTAGGGTTTGATACGAGTGCATTAGTTTGTTGAAAGCTTGGGTTTGGTAGTCTGAGTCTTTCTGTTGCAACTCTATGCACAGCGTGGTTATCTAGAACAACGACAGCATCAGCTTGTAAACAGAGCCGTTTCAGAGTTAATACAGAATTATACGGCTGCACAACCACATCACTCGCCGCGTCCCCCAATACAGGAAACACAGAAAATGTTTGTACGAGCTTCGACCCATATCTATCCCCCAGCAGCTCCAATAGATAAGAACCCATACCGGACCCGGTGCCCCCCGCCTGCAGCAGCAGAAACACACACAACACAAATTTATAAACCACAAACTATATAATAAATAATATATTATTAAACCTAAATAAAATACATATAAACACAAAACTACATATGCAGCTGAGCGTACACCATACACAACATATTATTAACTCGAAATAAGTAAGAACATATCTTTCATCCTAGACAGCAAAAACAACAACAACGAGCAAACCCCAAGAAATAAACAAAATACAAAAAAACAAAAAAATAAATAAGTAAATAACAATTAATACTCATCAATCAACTGCATAGTAACTCTGTTTGTATGCTGCATACGCAACATATAACAAACCCCAAACCCTAAACCCTAAACCCTAAACCCTAAGCAACGTGCAGCATACTAAACGAGCTGCAACAAACCCTAAACAACCAACTCAAAACCCTAAACAACCAAACTAAAACCCTAAACCCTAAACCCTAAACCCTAAACAACCAAGAATTGAACCCGCAACCCTAAACAACAGACCTCATACAGACAGACGCCAACAGCCTAAACCCTCCAAACAAAAAGCAGTCCACATACCCAAC